GCCACCGTGTGTGATGCTGTGTTTCGTTGTGAAAGTGAAACTACTTTGTTTGGCCTTCCAAAAATGGACACGACTAGAAATCAATGGTTAAGTTGTATTTACAACACTGTTCCAGAACATTTCAACCCAAATATTCAGATGTGTGCAGCACATTTTATGGAGGACCGTTTCCTGATCCTGGTAGAGTAGACTACAATGCCGGCTGTTCTGACTCACAGACTGTAAGTAAGTTTTTTATATTTAAAGAGTTTTTATATTTTATATTTTATATATTTAAAGCGAGTTTTTTGGGCAGTGTAGAGTAGGGCTTGTAGTTTGTCATTTCTCCGATCACAAATGCAAACATGGTTTTATGTTCTAAAACCAACGCGTAAAAAGACAGTATAAGTCATTATAATCCATAATTATGTCCCCACTTGATGCAACAAATGCCTCGTTTATAATGGGTTTTCATGTTTTTGAATCGTCACTCCGGCCTGACAGGGCATCATCACAATATGGTAGGGGTGTAACATTTCCGTCTCACGCTTGAGGTATTCAGCCAATCACAATGCACTGGATAGCTGGCCAATCACAGCACACGTCACTTTTCAGATCGATGAGCTTTGTAAAAATCGAGCGTTTCAGAAAGGTGGGGCATAGAGGAGAAACAATGTACAGTATGTGGAAAATAATGTTTTTTTTTTATCTTAAACCGCATAAACACATTTCATTACACCAAATACACAAAATAATGTCATTTTTAGCAGCATCATATGACCCCTTTAAGCATTCTGTTAAGTATTTTAATTGAAATTGTGGCACAAGAGCTGCATATACAGTACTATGGAAAAGTGTATTTACATACAATTTAATGCTGCACAGTTGAAAAAATGTCACAGAAGCTACAATTGCAGAAATAATGGTATGAAATGGTTTAAAATATAAAATTATGATGAATATAGATACTTAAAAATTATATTTGGAGTTGGTAAGATTTTTTTTGAGAAAAATTCATAAGATGAAGATTTTTATTTCAAATAAATGCTGTTCTTTTCATCAACTTTCTATACATCAAAAAGTTTCCTCAAAAATATTAAGCAGCACAACTGCTTTCAACATTCAATTATAAATGTTTCTTGAGCACCAAATCAGCATTTTAGAAAGATTTCTAAAGGATCATGTGACACTGAAGACTGGAATAATGGCTGCTGAAAATTCAGCATAAGAGACATCTTTCAAAAACTGAAATATTGAATAATACATTTAAAATTATATACTTACATACATAATCCTGCACTAATTCTGCATTTCAGCAATGAATATGGGTAGTCTGAATACATACAACACTTCTATGTGTTCTATGTTCTTTAGGTTGCTGACCCTCAAAACCTGTCTAGCTCAAAGAAGAGCATCATGGTGTTGTCTGACGGAGGAAAGCTGTTCCGCACAGAGCTGGAGATTGTGTTATGCAAGGATCCGTCAGTGTGAACTCTGAGCTCTTAGCGCTCACTTCCTTCACCCACCCCAATCTAGCCAAAGCAGGTGCATGTGGTGGCTCTGTTCCACCTCTTATCCTATCAAAGTTAATCAGCATCCACAACGTACTCCTCTCTCCGTGGCATGCCTTTCCCAAAGATATGGCTTCTTGATGTGTGCATCTCTTGCTCGTCTTTTTTATGTCAAAAACATGACATTGTGTATAATAATGGATATATGGTCTTATTCTCCTGCTTGTACCAAATCTTCAATTCAGTTTGTTACTTTTATGTATGCAGCCTGCTCTCTCTCCATTCCTCTCTTTCTCTCTATCTTTCCAATCTCTCCCATATCTCCTTTTTTGTTCCTAGCAAGACTGTACACTGTTCTGTTTTGCCAACACTGCTAAAAGAATAATTGAAATAAAAGATCAGATAATACGTTTACCTTCTAAACCATACTGTTTTTCTGCTTTAAAGGATCTGTCTAGCTTTTTCTTTAAATAAAGGACCATTTCCATATTTTCAGGTTATATTTTGCAAGATACAATTAATGCCCCTAATTTAATTATGGCTGTAACTGTTTTAGAAGCAGATAATGGTAATAACGGGCACTTATTATCGTTGTTCGGATGTGCCATCTTCTCAGGCGCACTGTGATCTCATTTTCCATTTAGATAAATCCAAACGCGGCTAACTTATCTTCACAGGCCTGCAAGAAAAGGCGTGCATCTTCAAGCCAAATCGAGCGCCGTAGCACAATGAAGTGTTTAGAGCTTATCTTTTTCATTTTCATAGTAGGAATGTTCTTTGTGCTTCATAAATCTCTGATATACAGGATAGAACAGGAAAGGGATTGTGGTGATGCAGACTGTTTTCTTGGCTTCAGTTGCTCAGTTTCACCCTGAATATCTTCCACAAAATTGTTATGCTTGTCCTGTTTGGATCACATGCATTTTGTTACATATTCTGAGAGGAGAGGGCAAACCATGGAAACCTTCCTGCAGTTTATCAACCCAGTTAACAGGGAACTTTGGCTAATGTTCTGGCAAGGTTATTCCACTAACATTAATTCAACCTTCATTTAGAATGATCTGATATTTGATATCTTAGTAATGTTTTCAAAACGGTAGCAAACAAAAACATTATTTATACATTGTTCATGGAATGTTTTTCCCCCGTAGTTAAATATTCATCTAAAATTATTTAAGTATTAGCTACTAATTCTTTCACAATGTTCAGAGAAGATTCAAAAGCAACAATTTTTTAAATAGAATATTACCTTAATTATTTAAAAAACATTTAATAAACAAATTCATAACTTAACGGGAACGTTCTTAGAACAAGTGTGTTAGTCGTGAATCCACCTATTAAATAGATGTGGAAACTAAAAGATGATGTTTTTTTTTCTTCGAACAGCTGATGTAATATCGTTTCATGATTTTTGTTTTGTGGCAGTTGTGATAGTTGCTCTGCCACTTACTGACTAGCTGTGCTACAAGACCTTGCGCAGTCTGAGAAGGCCATCAATTAAATATCAGCACTCTCATATATTTTTTAACAAGAGTGTTTAAAATAAGACTTGGCTCTGTATGGCCCAGCTCACAAAAAACAGCATGTGCACTTTAGACGCCTCTCGAGCACTCCATAGAGGTAAAGCACTCAGGACTGAAGCAGCAGAGATCTGTGGAAACTGATGGAAACAGACTGGAAGGCTCAAGATAGACCTCTAGTGGCTGATACCAAAACACCAGCATTAGTGCTTTTTACACTGGTGTGAAGGCATGATTATGTCATGATAGTGATGGTTTCCATGCTGTTTTTCAACTCAAACGATCCATAATTTACTTTTGGATATCTAAACTTATAAATGTGGTTTATACTATATACATTGCTGCTAGATGCACACCCTATGAGTCATTGAATGGGTTGTACTCTATGAATTATAGCTTGGATTCCCAATCTAGGCATCACATTTGCAATCATTGAAAATGCCTATGACAAGACCTATAGCTCAGTAATTTGACCAGTCTTCTCCACACGTACACGGGTATTTTTATAAAAGTTTTTAAAAAGTATAAAGTTAAAAAGTATAATCTCTGTCCACATGAAAACGCAAACGCATGCTATGAAGCACTGTCAAGAGCATGCCAAACCAACAGGTGGCGATATAATCTCAACCGTAAAGCCATGTTGGGCAATCAGAAGCCTGAAAAGGTCTCCAGTAGGCGGAGATAACAGCGCAGGCGCCGACGTCACAAGCCAAAAACTCCGGTTTCGCGGTCTACACGATAACACTGCACCCGGAGAGTTTGAAAATCTTCACCCTGGCAGGCGTTTTCAAAAATGTTCGGTTTCAGTGAACTGGTGCTGCGTTTGCATGTGGACGAATGGCCAAACCGCGTAGAAAAAGCTGCGGTTTAAAAAATAACAGCGTTCGTGTGGACAGGGCCTTACAAGCTTTCACAAGTTAATTGACTGAAAAATGAAAATCTATTCTTCTCATAGCATCCCTTGAACACAATCTTAAGACTTATGAGCCTAGATGTTTTTACACCTACACAAAACCAGGACAGAGTAGCACAGCTTCAACAGTAAAGCATCTGTCACCGGTGACCTTGGAAGCCATATATTACATTTAAATTTTGTCATTTAGCAGAGGCTTTTATCCAAAGTGACTTACAAATGAGGACAATGGAAGCAATCAAAATCAACAAAAGAGCAATGATATGCAAGTGCTATAACAAGGCAGTACACATAGCAAGTTTTTCTTCAAATTATATAATAAAAAGAATATAGCAAGCTAGTGTTAGATGCCTTTTTTTTTTTTGCTTTTAATTGTATAATAAAAAAATGGATAAAAATAAAAAGATTAGAGAAGCTAGTGTTAGTTTTTTTTTAAAGGGTTAGTTCACCCAAAAATTCTGTCATTAATTGCTCACCCTCATATCGTTTCAAACCCGTAAGACCTTCGTTCATCTTCAGAACACAAATTAAGATATTTTTGACCCTGCATAGACAGCAATACAACTGAAATGTTCCCAAGTCCAGAAACGTAGCAAGGAGATCTGTAAAATAATCCATGTGACATCAGTGGTTCATCCGCAATTATACAAAGCTACGGGAATACTTTTTGTACAAACCAGTACCTCCACCTCTTCCAGTCAGACGGGGAGTGTGGGAAAATAAGAAATTATTGGAGAGTGCTGCAGGATTAGCAGTGCCCTCTGGTTTGATCCAGGTCTCTGTCAGGGCCATGAGGTTTAGTCTTCTTGAATGACTAGTAATAGATGTAATGAAATCTGCTTTGTTTACTGCAGACTGACAATTCCGGAGACCATTAGAAAAAGAAAGAAGTGTGTTAGCAGACATAGGCAAAGTCCGCAGGATGTTAGGATTGCGCTGCCTATAGTGTGTGATGCATGGTCTTCAAAAGGCCTTTTGGAGGGCATAAAAATATATGTAAAAAATGTTAAAATAGAAAAGTTATTTTAAATTGTAATAATTTTTTACTGTATTTTTGATCAAATATATGCAGCCGTGGTGGGCAAAAGATACAAAAGATACTTTTGAACAGTATTGTGCATTGCTGTGGCTTCCATAAAAGGTGAAATTCACTTTTAGCCAATGTGATTTAAATCACACACTTGAGCCTGACATGTCTGTTGAGCATCTCAGGGTTGTGGGTTTGATACCATTTCCTGATACAACAGAGAAAAGAAATGCTTTCTGATGCATCTGAGGAAAAAATTTATCTGATGGCAGTAAACATTCATTCCAATTCACTTCATTATATTTCTATTACAATTCTGTAGAATAATGTACAGTACTGACTTTCTCAAAGCCTCAAATGTTTTATGACACATACAAGAACAAATATTTCTAATAAAAGAGCGAGAGAGAGAGAGAGAACCAGCAGTTCTTTCTTCAAGTACTCTATAGATCATTCCCATAATAGAAATAAAAATATAGAATCAGAATCAGAATTATACTGTGAACCTATACAGTGAAAATTATATAGAATCATGCTCTAACTTATTGATTCCCAAAGATCAATGACCCTAAATCCAATATCATAATGAATAGTATGTCAGTTCACCGAGACCAAGCCTTTACACTCCCATTTGTAAAACTATGATTTATAGCTGCTACATAGAAGGACTGTGGTAAAGCTTATGCACATTTTAGTGGAAATGTCAGTTTTACAAAATAACTGGAAATTAAGGTTCTGTGTGAACCGACAGCTCATGATGACATTATCTCCAAAGTCCTTTGCGGTATTTTAAAACTAAGAGGTCACTTCATTATGGAGGCTCAACAGCACAAGTTCCCTTTAGCACATGTATAAGGCTCCAGCTCAGTCCTGTCCCACATCTGTATCAGTGGTTTTGCCATGGTTTGGTCTATTGTTTAGTGCAAGCTGCATTGCCCAGATGCTCAAAGGCCTCATATAAGCGAGAGAGCGGTAAATGCCTTTCTCACAGTATGCTTCAGGGGTCTGGAAGGCCATTCCCATTCGCTCCCATACAGCGCGGTAACAGCCTTCAGCAGTGCGCATTCCCTCTTCTATCATGCCCTGGGAAAAAAGACAGCGGGTTGTATTAGGAGTTAATTAACAGATTGACTTCGTCTGGAAACTGGTGATATGATCTGAGGTTTGATTACCTCATGTATCATTGTAGCTGCTAATCCGTATACTACTCCCACCCACACCTCATCTGATTGGACACTGGAACGATCAGGCACACCTTCTGGCCTCATCCCATTCACCGCACCCATCTGCCCGTCTGAAAAGCTCATAACATTGAGGTCAAACACTGACTTCAGCGCACTACAGATTTTCTCCTTGGGAAAAGCCTGCATAGAGAAATGGGTGTAGAAAATTCATGTTAGTTCCCATCCACAGTCTACTCTTCCTATACAACACTGACCCCTATTGGAGTCTAAGTGACCCATGCAAAATTAATGCAACAGCATTTTATTGATTTATTTGTTCATTTTTAATTTTACTTTGTAAAACTTTACAACGAGGTTGAATTATTTGCTGTTAGGTATCATGAACTAACAATGAACAATACTTCTATTGCAATTCATATTAATTCATTTCAATATAAATTTGTAAACAAAATGTAATTTGTAGAAATTAACAGGGTTTTTTTTGTTGTTGCTTTTTTTAAAGAAACTGATCATTTATCATTTTTCAAAAGTCTGTTGTTCTTCAAACTATCTGCTCATCAAAGAATCCTGAAAAAAACTCTCTCTTCATCACACTTCATTAAGCAGCACCAAATCAGCATATTAGAATAATTTCTGAAGAACCATGTGACACTGAAGTAATGGTTGCTAAAGATTCAGCTTTGTCATAAAAGGAATGTTGCATTAAAAAAAAGTATCTAAAAAAAATTATATATATATATATATACAGTGGGTACGGAAAGTATTCAGACCCCCTTAAATTTTTCACTCTTTGTTATATTGCAGCCATTTGCTAAAATCATTTAAGTTAATTTTTTTTCCTCATTAATGTACACACAGCACCCCATATTGACAGAAAAACACAGAATTGTTGACATTTTTGCAGATTTATTAAAAAAGAAAAAACTGAAATATCACATGGTCCTAAATATTCAGACCCTTTGCTCAGTATTTAGTAGAAGCACCCTTTTGATCGAATACAGCCATGAGTCTTTTTGGGAAAGATGCAACAAGTTATTCACACCTGGATTTGGGGATCCTCTGCCATTCCTCCTTGCAGATCCTCTCCAGTTCTGTCAGGTTGGATAGTAAACGTTGGTGGACAGTATATATATATATATATATATATATATACACCTTAAATCTAATAATATTTCACATCATTACAATTTTTTAACATTTTTATTAAAATAAATACAGCCTTAGCGAGCATAAGGTAACATCTTACCCACCCCAGTAGTGTAAATGGTTATTTTATGACACCTAATGTATTAATGTTACGGCGCTGAACCATATTGTAAAGTGTTACCAATATTTCTTATGTTAATGAAGCCATTCAAAATAATTTTAAAATATTTTATATATACAACCAAATGTTGATCATATTAAAACATGCTTGTAAAATGTTTTTCAGACTACCTGGTAGTCATCGTCCCCAAGTCCAGACGCCCTGAGAAACCAATGGCCTGCACACTGGTCTGACATTACACTGTTAGACATGCTCTGTCCACTGCTGTCATAGTTGTAGTATTTGCCTATCAGAGAAGGAGAAAGACACTTCACGGGGGGAAAATGAATGCATTAAACTGAATGTGGTTGCTGGAAGACCGTGTATGCTTACACTTACCATTCCACAGGAGTTTGTCAAAGGCTGCTCTTCCTCTCTCCAAAATATCTCTGTAGCGTTGATAAACAGACTCGCAATTCAGCACACGTGCCATTTTACACATCATGCACACTGACGCCAGCCACAGACCACCACAGTATGCACTGGAAGACCACACAGGGAAACACAGGGATATTGTTACTCTAGCCATAACAAAACTTGTGTCATAATACATGATTTTAAAATATACATTTAAAATAAAAAACATAATTTGCATATTCTGAGAAATTTGAAAAAAATATATCCATTTTTAATTTTCAAATAAAATAAAATAAAAACTTCCTGAGTCCTAACCTGGGTCCTGTCACCTTCCATCCATCATATGTCTGGTCTGCATAGCCAGAATTTTCTATCAGCCCATCACCATCCTTATCAAATTTCAACTCCGTTTCCATAACTGTCTAAATAAGCCAGAACATCAGATATTTGGGTAATGTGTCTTAAAACTTGACAAGTCACTTTACATTTGCATATACAGAGGATATAATTTTACACAAAATCCTAAAATACAAAAGAGAAAAACTCACCTGGCATATGGGCCACATATCCTTCAGATACTGCTCATCCTGGGTCAGGTAATAGTCTCGGTACACCTGCAGCACAAACTTCAAGTTCAGATCCTTCCAGTCAGCTGTATCGTGGATCATGTATGCATTGGCACGAACCCATGGCTCATCATCTGTTTGAAATCAAAGAGTAGGTTTTATTGACATTAATAAAATGATGTGAATCATTTTGAAAAAACAAAGAGATACAGTAGCTACAATTAGACCACTCAAATGTGTTTCTAATAATTTAACATTAATGCATTATGCAAGAAAAAAATTATTATGGGGTTCATGATGACGACAATCTCTATTTTAGGTGAACTCTCTTTCTCTCTTTGACAAACGTGACGTGTGACTTCATGGTATCCTATTATGCACAACTCACCAGGGTCTCCAATGTCGTGAGGTACAACACCCCGGGTCTTGACTGGTGAGTATCGGCCATTCATTAGATTTAACCTCTCTGTAGGATCGTGTTGAACGACACTACCAGCTGAATATGAAAGAGAGAGGGGGAAAAAAAGTATAATTAAACAAAGAGAGAATGCAAAACAGTATATGAGAAAATCTGCAAATGAATTTAAAACACAAAATATTAAAAATAAATAATTAATAATGAATTCAAATACATTCAATGTTCAAATGTGAGCCTAGCTTACCAATATCATACTGCACACTCAGAGCCAGCTTGGGCCAGAGCATGATGAGAGCGAATGAAGCATAGAAGTGCACATCATATGTGTTATACATCCTGTACTCCTGACCTGGAGCGAGAGACAAAGAATTTATTTATCATCTTGATTTAAACTTTAATGAACTTTTAGTGTATAATGAACTAAGATCTAAAGTGTAATTCTAAATTTAATCTAAAACTATTAAAATTCTTTTTCAGTATTTGAAATAAAGCTGAAATTAAATAAAATATACATTTTAGATAAAATTTTAAATGAAAAAAATATATATAGAAAATGTTACCTTGGCAACTAACAAAGATAAACTACTTTTAGTTGAAGTACTAAAATGACTAAAAGTGAAAGAAAAAAAATCAAGCTATATAGAAATATAAAAAAACGAATAAAAGTGACAAAATTACTAAAACACAAATTAAAACTGAAAATAAAAAATAAAAGCTAATTCAAAATGAATACTATAATAGTATATAAATAATACTAAAATAACACTGATTACAATCCAGCAGCAACAGATTTCCTCTCAGCAATGCTGGTTATATTTTTTATCATGGTTTTTTGTACATGGCATACATAATTATATACACAAATCAAATGTTATAAACCTGTTCTAAATAAATATTGAGTTTAGTTTGCATGTTAAGTTAATGTTGAATGTTACAGCCCTACTCTCTTACCCTCTAGGTAAGCGAAACGGCCGTAATCCTTGACAACTTCAGGCTGGGCTGGAAGCCCCCCATCCTCAGGACGAAGCCCACCGCTGATGTCAGCGTCCTCTGGAAGCTCCACCCACACGGTTCCACCATCCACAACAAAGTACAGCTCATTAAACAGAGCGGACTTATACCAAGCAGGAAGAGACCTAGAACAACACTGTGTTTAAGTCTACCGGTGGTGAAACATACACAGAATGGATGTCGAAATACATTAAGTTAACATTTATTTCACATAATATTTAGTACGATTTAAAAAAAAAAAAAAAAAACAGAAAATGTGGTTTGTCCAATGACGGGGCTGTCAGTATATTTTTTTAAACTGACACAACAAAGAATTTTGCCAAGATAGCAAAGGATATCGCCAATCCTTCTAATCTCAAAGCGGCCAAATACCAACAGATTAATCAACCGCGCAACTGAAAAGAATAGATGCCTTATGTTGAAATAATAGGTGGACACCTGGAATTATGATGTTGCATGTGACTCGGGCAACACTACTCAAAGCATACACAATTCATTCTGTATTTAGTTCACTCAACAGTATGAAGGGTATTGTGGAAACAAAATTAGTAATATGTGCAAAATGGCATATAAAGGCTACTGTTGTCTATGCACATAATGGATAAATCCATTACTCTCCTGTCTGTTTAAATAAGTAGTCGAATGTATTTGCAGGAAGGACGACTGCTTGCTTACACACAGTCTTTCAGATGAACGATAGTCACACAAATGGGCAGCAGACAACTTGATTAACCGATAGGACAGGCTGACATGCCCTCAAGCTTGATATTTTTTATGGGAAAAAGACATTTCTTTTTACCCATCCTGTAGAATCGGCCTCTGCCACTCATCAATGCTCTCCTCCCATTTACTGTAGTGTGTGAGTGCGTAGTGAGACAGAGACGGGGCAGCATCTCCTTTGGTTCCATAATAATGTGTGTATCTCCTGAAACAAACACCACACAAATAATGTTATTATTTCACAGCATCAAAGAGTATTATTTCATCAATTCAAATGCAATTATATGGTCTATAAAAAAAAATGAACCATTGAATGGACCATTAAGATCTTCATATAACAATTAAGCACATTTATCCCCAATTCCCATTAATGTAATGCAATAAAGTCTCATTCTCATTAATGTAATGCAAACTAAAACAATGACATTTTTTAATTTGTAGCATTTATGCATCATTGTCTCCTGGATTCTCTGAGATTAAACAAACTAGCATTGCTGCTCTAATATGAATGTGTAAGGAGTACAAACTGAACTGTTGACTCAAACCCTTCCTTTCATGCAGCTTGTAAATAGTACTTCTTTTTATACACAGCCACACCACTTCCCTTAAAAATTCTCATGAAATTGCATTAAAGCACTGTCTCCTATTGAAACAGGAAGTATGGCAAGACATATCAAATTGTGTCTCTTTTAAGCCCTTTCATATTGTAACAGTTCGTTGGTCGGGAAGGAGGAGGCGGGAACCAGCGAACGTTTAAACAAAACGTCAATAAAATAAACCAACACAAAATGAAAGTAAAGCGGCAGCCCCTCGCGGAGGACTGCCGCACACAAAACACAAAATAAAGTCCAGGCCTGGTCCTCTCTCGTCCAACACTGTCGTCACTCCTCCTTTTATCCTTCCGGAGCTCCTCCGTGGGACTCGAGACCGGTGAGTGGTGCAGGTGTCGCGCATTAGCATTTACTCCACCGGCCTCGCTCTGTTCCCACGGCTCTCGGCCCCGCCCCTCTCGTCACACATATTAGTTGTTTTCATACATTTACTACAGGCAAAACCTGCTGCTTCTAGATTTACACTGGCGCATTACCTTTTCTCTTGCAGCTATACACAGAGTGTAAGGGTTGACGGGCATCTGGTGATGTAGTAACACCCCAGACACAGATTCTCTGTCTTTTTCCAGGTGAAATGGCTCATTCCAGTGGCCGCCACTCTTATCGTCTTTATGGCCAGACCCATTAACCATCGTGAACATGATGGAAACATCAAGTGCGTAGTCATTCTTATTCTCAATGTCCCACACAAACACAGCCACAGGAAGACTGGAGTCCTGAAAATTAGAAAATGATTTTAGAAACTGCAATATTGATATAAGTACAGTAATATTCTGAATTCTAATCATTTAAAATAACTGTTTTAATATATTTTAAAATGTAATTTATCCATGTGATGGCAAAGTCGAATAATCAGCAGCCATTACAGCAGAAAACTTTACAAGTAGCGGTTGTTTTCATACATTTACTACAGGCAAAACCTGCTGCTTCTAGATTTACACTGGCGCATTACCTTTTCTCTTGCAGCTATACACAGAGTGTAAGGGTTGACAGGCATCTGGTGATGTAGTAACACCCCAGACACAGATTCTCCGTCTTTTTCCAGGTGAAATGGCTCATTCCAGTGGCCCCCACTCTTATCGTCTTTATGGCCAGACCCATTAACCATCGTGAACATGATGGAAACATCAAGTGCGTAGTCATTCTTATTCTCAATGTCCCACACAAACACAGCCACAGGAAGACTGGAGTCCTGAAAATGAGAAAATGATTTTAGAAACTGCAATATTGATATAAGTACAGTAATATTCTGAATTCTAATCATTTAAAATAACTGTTTTAATATATTTTAAAATGTAATTTATCCATGTGATGGCAAAGTCGAATAATCAGCAGCCATTACAGCAGAAAACTTTACAAGTAGCACTTTTATCAGTGTTGAACAGTTACCATATGCTGCCATTTTTGTGTAAAGGAAAGTGTATAATATATAATATAAATGAATTATAAATAAATGCAACAATTGAACATTCTAAACAGCTTGTCACCTTGTAGTCATGAGGGATGACAGGTGACACCTGCCTGCAGGTGAGAGTGACATTCTGGCCAGGCAGGTGGTAGACGGTCCAGGCTCGTGGGTACAGAGCATGGTAAAAGGCGTATTCACCACAATAACCCCAGTTCCAACCCTGAAGAGTCGGGGGTCGCTCCGTAGACAACACCTGCTGGTATACTGTCTGACCACACCTGCGCAGACACACTGTAAACTAGGAGATAGAGGGGGTTAAAACACACAAACTAGGTGAAAGGTAGATTTGAACACCTGCATATACTGTATAATAACACACACTTGCTCAGAACTGTGAAACACATACCAACAGTCACTAATTTCTAAATACTAAACTCTAAATCCTTCAGAAATCATTCTAATATGCTGATTTGGTACTCAAAACCATTATTATCAATGTTGAAAACAGTTGAATAGAAAGTTCAAAAGAACAGCATTTATTTGAAATAGAAATCTTTTGCAACAATGAATGTGATTGCTGTCACTTTTGACCTTGCTGAATAATTTATTTTTAAAAACAAATCTTACTGACCCCAAATTTTTGAACAGTGGTATTTTACTGGATCACACTAGTTCTTTACCTGGTTAGCAATAACGGTTTTGTAGTGGTACATTCCAGGATTTAGTTGCCACCGGCAGAAATCTCCCCTCCATCCACGCGTGATACTGCCTCCGCCAATGCCACCAAGAGGAGCACCTACACAAAACATGTCCTCTGTTACACTGGGTCCTTTTAAAGGGATAGTTCACCCAAAAATGGAAATTCTGTCATTAATTTCTCACCCTCGTGTCGTTCCAAATACGTAAGACATTCGTTCATCTTCGGAACACAAGATGTTTTTGAAAGTTTTCTGACCCTCAATAGACAGCAATGTAACTGAAATGTTCCCAGGTCCAGAAAGGTAGTGAGGACATCGTTAAAATAGTCCATGTGACATCAGTGGTTCAACTGCAATTTTACGAAGCTATGAGAATAGATTTAGACTAGAATAGACTTTTTGTGTGCAAAGTAAACAAAAATAAATCATGTATTCCATGACTCCAAGTCATGTATTCTGCCATTATGGAGAGTACCATGCATCAGTAGCACCACGCGCATGCATTGTTCAGTGCAGAGGTACTCCCGAAAATGGTGGAACACGTGATTTGGAGGAGAAGAATTGTTGAATAAAGTTATTATTTTTGTTTTCTTTGTGCACAAAAAGTATTCTCACAGCGTGAACCACTCGCAGGCTGAACCACCGATGTCCTTACTACGTTGAATTGCGGTCTATGCAGGGTCAGAAAGCTCTCGGATTTCATCAAAAATATCTTAATTTGTTCTCTCAAGATGAACGAAGTAATTAATGAGTAATTAATGCCAGAATTTTCATTTTTGGGTGAACTATCCCTTTAAGAGTTGTTGTTGCTTTGATGTTTCTATTCGTCTTTGCGCTTACCATAAATTTGTCTCAGTGGTAAAGCCCGAAACATATCAATAAAAGGAGCCTTCTTCTCAATCTGGGTCTTTCTGTACCACCATCTCAGATACCTGCTCAAGTCAAAGCAAGGAAGAATTCACTAAACTGGCCTTTCTCTCTGTCACACACAGGTATAGCCTTGAACTGGTATTGATGAACAGTGAAGGCAACAGAGTTTTGTTCAATATATTGGTCATGCATCTATGTGCAAAAATCACACTTTGACTTCTTAAATTGGTCTTTATAGCTTCACAGCAATGCTAGTTCTAATAATGAACCTCTGTTTCACATACACATACTACATCTCCACTTTAGTCACTCCCAAACCACTCCATCCAACTCATTCTTTTCTGCCTCACTCATTCTCCTGCAATAATGCACACACAGCTGTTTTCAGTCTTGTTGGACTCAGCACAAGAGCGCCTAGAAACAGAGACTGATTCACTCAAACATAAAAGGGCAGATGGCATTATGGGATAGGCTGAAAAAGCACTGAACGGTCTCTGCCCTGGATACAAATCCCTTTTTGTAGTGATCACTGATTTAGTACTGAAGTTTTTCCCCAAGCAAAACCTCTTATATTACATATTTATCTAAAAAGTGCAAATTTTATCTCTCCAGACTTGCTAATTTATTTATTTATGCTTGTTAAGTTAATTGGATTTTTTTTTTCCAGCTTACATGTTGTTAATGGAATGATCACTTGGCAAGATTATGTTGTATTAAAGGAAAATTAATAAAACAATTATTACAAAAATAATTTATGTTCAGATTCAAAAATGGCAAAGTTCACCTACTATGGAGGGTTTCAATGCATGACTGCATATGACTATCATAGACGCCAGCCACGCCTCTATGCTAGTATGCTAGCGAGTAATCAATCAAGTGTGGTGAAGGTTGAGCAACATGATTCATGAATACAGTATTCACATACACATCAGAGGACTGATTATCTAAATGGGAACGTACAGTAAAGATTTATAAAGCTCATGACAGTTGTTGTGTCAAACATTAACGTGGAATCAAACAGCACACAGGGTCAATATTGACTGATATCGACACTGATTAACCAGCCTCAGTGGACATTACAATTCCATGCAGCTGTAGTGTGATGCTGGAGATAAAATAATAGTTCATTAACAAATAATCACAACAACAAAATCCAGAATCTAAACCCAGGTCAACAGCTATCAAGCCGTTTATAGCAGGAACATCCAAAGGTCCATACAAAGAGAGGAAGTTCATTGAAATGTATTAGTTATAGTGTTAGAGAGGGAAAACAGCCCCACCTGATCCAGGTAAAAACAATTGCTACACAAGTCTGCAGGTAACCCAAAAATGATCCACATGCTCAGATTTCTGGTTTAACTAGTATGTGAGATGCAATACACAAAATGAGCTGTCTTTTTTAGGAAGATATTATCAGTAACCATAACATTGGTTGACTAAATAAAGCTGCTAAGAACCAAGTGGGGAAGGGTTTAGCAGAAGAAGGGAATGAAAACATGTCCGTCTGTGGTCAAAATATAACCACTGAACAATATTTCCTGTTCCTGTTTCAACCATACATATTGGTATAAAGCAAAAGGCCATTGAGATGTGTATAATGTTCTATTTTGGCAGCTTTTGATGTGAACAGATTCTATTCTTTAGTAATTGTGTTTCCTGTAGATGACGTGAGGACTAATAAATGAATGACCAAGTAGATCTGAGGCTCTTCTATTGAAATATGATTTGTTAAACATACCTGACCCCTAAAGAAACATGCTCGATCATGTTGGACAATGAGACATCTTTGGCTTGAAATGGTTTCCGCTTCTCTTTGAACTCGTGTGCCAAGCATATCCGCCAGCCATCCTTTGGAACACCAAATCCTGTTTCTGTAGACACATACCGGCTCATCAGCTCAGCCAGAGATGTGCTGTCATTTAAATCCATAGTAGAGCTGTTGGATCACCAGTCCAAACCAAAACCGTAAAAATCGGCTCCCTGAATCCTCTGAAAAAAGGCAAAATTGAAAAAAAGTGTTAATGCATATAGAATATTTCCTTTGCTTTAAGGATAAAACAACAGATAACCTTATTGACACATGGTTTGAAAAATGACATCTTGCCTACTGTGTTGTGCAAGTAAGAGTTGAGATCACGTTTGATCTGCATGCATGGGCAGGTGATCTACATTCAAACGCAAAGTTCACCTGTCACCAGGGTGACAGAATGACAGAGTTCAGTTGCCAGCAACAACCACGGGCTGGAGATGTAATCTGATCCTTTTAATTAAATAACAATAGCTCTTTCATTTCACCCCTGGGCCAGGCAAATCTTTTTCTATATGGTAGAATTCACTTGGCCAAACAAATAAGATATCTGTAGAGCCGCATCCCACCCCACATCAAGATGTTCTGACATACTTTACTGTTCTTAACAATTAAAACCATACAATGTTACGACATAATCTACTACACCGAAATTCAATGTATTTGCACTGAAATAAAACAATAGAATAATAATAAGAATAAACTAATATATAATAAATGAATTATTATTATTACTAAACCATTTTTATTTCAACAGCAACAACAAAAATATATTTAGCTCTGTCCAAAACTAAATCCATGATTTCCTCCCCATTTTGAAACCCCTGCTTCCATTGTGGTGTAGTTTTCCATTTCCATTCCATTTGTTTTCATATATTATTTTATTTGCTTTTTTGTTGTTGTCCATTTAGGAATTTTCTATTAATTTTTTATATTCAAATTACTTTTTTGTCAATTAATTTATTACTAGAAATGTGCAAATCGCACAAATTATGGTTTTACAATTAATTTAGACATGGCCCAAACATCAGTGCTGCAAAAAAAAAAAAAGCAAACTCACATACAGCTCATAAAAGTAAATTCTATAAAAACGAGTAAGCCTACCTTCTGAGACAGACGAGCATCATGTTATAAAAGTTAAGCACTTTTACTGTCTTTTTGCTTTAAATAATTAATATTCTTCATACTCCGCCCTATTTTGCAAAATTGCAAAAACCATTACAGAATCCTACTTCGGCAAGACATATTTAATGAGAGAGACATGATGTTTTAATGTCCAATATGCGTTTGCACCCTTTCGCATCGCCCCATTGTAAACGTCTGGCTACTTATGTCACATTTGCTTTTAGATTGCCCATGCATAATTAATGTTCTCCCATTGTTATTGTTTCATCCACGCAGTCCACCAGAGGAGTGTAAATCTCTCTTACCCTTGCCTGGGGTCTGCGCGTCAGTGGCGAGATCGGCGAGATGCACTTGTTTTGACGCTCGCCAGCATGACTATGTCAGTAGAGCCATCCTGTGCCCCTGTGGCTGCTGCTTTCACTTTGTTGCGGTTGGATCTTGGGAAGTTTTTCAAAGTGAACAGCAAACGCTAAATTTTAGAGACGAAAAGCATGTAACGTTATACTGCATTCCTTAAGTAAAGAACACATGTTCTTATGCAGAACAGCACATCACGATCTCTTAATGATGAACTTGGTCAAAGCCACACATCAGTTTCCCAGTGATAGAGCAGTATACAGGGCCTTCTGTTGGCTTATACCAATGAGCTCACCCTCGGGGAGGTAACGTCCAGAAGAGTGTCGTCATTTCAGTATTTTCCAAAGAAACACAAACCTTTTTCTGTATCTATTTTCTTTTATAAGCCATCTCTTGACTATTTAAAATATTAAATGTTACACTTTTCTTAACTATCTTCTTCTGAGGAAACCGTTCCACCCCCGTTGTGATTTTGGATGGGACTTTTACGTCACATTTGCCACGGAGCCAATTATTCGAATCGGTTCTTTTGAATGGTTCAGTTCAAAGAATCATTTCAAAAGCAATTCAGTAATTCGCGTAAGGCTTAAAGGGATAGTTCACCCAAAAATGAAAATTTGACGTTTATCTGCTTACCCCCAGGGCATCCAAGATGTAGGTGACTTTGTTTCTTCAGTAGAACACATATGATGATTTTTAAGTCCAACCGTTGCAGTCTATCAGTCGTATAATGCATGGCAATGGTAACCAAATCTATGAGAGTAAAAAAAACATGCACAGACAAATCCAAATTAAACCCTGCGGCTCGTGACGACACATTGATGTCCTAAGACACGGAACGATCGGTTTGTGCCAGAAACTGAACAGTATTTATATAATTTTTACCTCTAATACACCACTATGTCCAACTGTCTTTGGGTGCGCGCACGGCATTCGGTGCGTGAGGTGTGTAAGCGCTCTGGCGTAGTTTACACAAGCGCCGGAAGTGATCTCTCGCGCATATACGTCACTCATTGTTTACACAGTGCAGTCATTGTAAGTACGACGGCTAATAAAAATGTTACTTACTTGCGCTTATCCGGATTGTTCAAACCGACTTAAAACTAAAAGATTACGTTCTCTTGCGCAAACTCATTCGGGAGTGGTGACTTTCCACATATTCCCAACTTCTGAGCCTGCTCGCCTGAAGTTATGGTTGATTGCTCTTCGGCTGGATATCAACACACCCATTAACGTAAACTACGCCAGAGCGTGTACACACCTCACGCACCGGATGCCGTGCGCGCGCCCAAAGACAGTTGGACATAGTGGTGTATTAGAGGTAAAAATTATATAAATACGGTTCAGTTTCTGGCACAAACCGATCGTTCCGTGTCTTAGGACATCAATGTGTCGTCACGAGCCGCAGGGTTTCATTTGGATTTTTGGGTGAACTATCCCTTTAAGGCTTTAAGTCGTTATGTGGTTTACCACACCGGTATATTACGTATTCTTCAAGTAAAGCCATATGAAAAACACATATTGCTGTTTATTATGTTTTTCGATTAACATTTTAAAAACCTTTTTTTTAACCTTTTTATTTTTGTTAAAATCATAAGAAATATTCTTTTCTGCCAAGTTATATAAATAAATTTAAGCATCTCTTAATGTAAATGCAAATTTGATTATCTAAACTTGCTTTTGAATTATAATATCTATTCATAAAGTTTTTGTTGGCAGCTTCTGAGTTTGATTGGCGAACAAATCGTTCAAACAGTGAACATATTGAACTGATTCATTAAACAAGTTGACTCAAAAGAACGATTCGTTCACGATTTGGACATCGCTATTCCGGAGTTAAGAAAAATATGTTACATCCTATACTTTCTCGTAACATGTTTTACTGAGTAAATCAAAATAATATGCATAACGAAGATTTTTCTAAAGTCTAGTTCAATATCATGGCAGCGTTTGCTTTTGTGTTCATGAATGTAGCCTGAACAACGTTTGGAAAAAACTCAGGGAAACCTTATAATGGCCAAGACAAGTCTCCGGTTGTTTTGTTTTCACGTAGCTGGAGCGTCGCCGGCTACACTTTTCTTTTAACTTCTGTGGTTAGGAATACGACGTTAAAAAAATCGACGGGAAGAAATAAAAGCAACAACTTCGAGGTATCGTAAAGGGAAGAAATAAAAGAATGTTATGACTTCCTGCAAGTATTGTAAATCTTCGTCGTTGTGCCAAGCTGCACGACGCCAGCTCTTTAAATGTAGATATACGCTGCTCTGTAGTTACAGTCAAGCTTTGCACACATTTTCTTGTCAGAGGCAGAATAATTAGGAAAGGCTTGTTTAATTACATGTGCCACTGCTTAAAAGAATAAGCATAATATCAAATATAAATCTCTCAAAACTAAGATATTCTCCACAGTGCATGTGACCTGGGGCCTGTTTCAGAAAGGAGGTTAAGTGAAAACTCTGAGTATGTTAACCCTGAAATGAGGGAAACTCTGGGTTTTTTCCGTTTCAGAATGGGAGGTTTGTCAAACCCGAGAAAGCAGGGCAAGTCAAGCCCGTTTCTGAAAGGGAGGTAACTTATACTCAGAGTCAGTTACCGTAGTAACTTACTCTATGAACCTAACCAGGGGGCCTGCCCTGTACCATGAAGCCGGATTAGCTTGCTAGCCAGGTAAGTTTCAGTTTAGTTTGCACCAATCCTGGGTTTTAGGTACCATGAAAGTGGCTTGGCTTTTAGCAGCGTTCATTGCCATAGTAACTTGCACTCCACGGCTAACCTGCTGGAGGACAGGTTATGTTCTGCATTAGAGATCTCAAACTGAAATTGGACCAATCAGATGTGAGCAAAGTGACACATGTCTGACACAAAAAAGTCACTCCCCCAGTTTAACTTGCTCCAAATTAAAGGTCACTAGTACTAAAAAAATGTTTGGCTTTAATGATAATTACTTAGTTATTTTATATGATTTATATAATGATGTGATTTATATTATTCCATTACACACAAGCAATTTTAGTTTAACAGTTATTATAAATAATTTATTTTCAATGAATGTTAATATATACAGATCGTATGTAGTATAAATAAGCTGTAGAATCAATGGATAATGCTTTAAAAATGACTACGTGACCTTACATGTTCGAGTCTCTATCGCTGTATATAACAAGTTTCACTTGTGACTGCACTGATAATGCAAGATCATTTCTTTTATTTGTCCTCTTTCATGAACAAGTTTTTTAAAATTTATTTTAAATGCATTTAAATTCATCATATTATTCAATCTCTTAACCTTTAGCAAAACCTTTAACCAAGGCTCGTGAATGGCTGTTCGCCAGTGATGTCACACATTCATGTGCACGTGCTCCACAAACTCAGGATCAAAGCCTGAATTGACAAAGAAAGTTGATGATCAGCATCATGGTACCAGCACAGGCGGAGTGGAGTGGTTCGGTTTTGTCAACTCGAAACTAATCCTGTAACTCTGAATTTGTTCATCTACCATCATGGTACAGGCCCCTGGTCGGGAGCAGGTTTTCTTCGGTAAACCCAGAGTTTCTTATGGTCTCCTCCCCCTTTTTAAAGCGTAAGCGATGTTTAGATACCTCATTCATTCATTCACGCTGCAAAAATTATTTTCTTACCGAGTATTTCTGTCTTATTTCAAGTACAAATATCGAAAAAATTCTTAAATCACGATGCATTTTCTGTATAAGAAAAATGATATAGCCTATGTTTATTCTTGTTTCCTGGGGGGAAACAAGTGCATTTTACTTAAAACACGTAAAATTATCCACCATGTGGTAAGAAAAATCATCTTAATGCAAACGTAAACAGGATAATTTTTTGTTTCCCCCACCTCCCCCCTTCAAACACCAGACACCGTCAAAGTGACAAAAATGGCATGTCCTTTTATACTCTAGATGAGGAGGCTGTATTAATTCGTAGGGAGTTAATTTTTTTTGTGCCATATATCCATATGCATATTTATTTGGTAGTTTTCTATATTGGGGATGCAGAGCACATTAGTAAGGCCACTGTATGCAGAGCAGTAACCATAGTGGGCCTCGCTGACGTTCACTTGATAACATCTTGCGGCGACCTCTGGAAGTAACCCAATAATTAGAATTTCCTTTAGAATTTCCAGTGTGGTTGGATGCATTGATGACACGCATATTCCCATCATCACACCTTCCGAAAATGAAACGGATATGGAATGGAAGGATGCCATATGGAAGTAGTCCGGGATATATGCTGTAAACACCACCACAGCTGTTACATAAACACAAATTATATAATTTATTTGGTCATCTTTATTTCTTACAAATACAAAAGCAAGAATTATTATTTTTTTTTTTTTAACTGTTGGATTTTAGTATTCTTCCAATACTTGGTATTATGGCCATCTCCTCTTCATCTGTTCTTCATTATTTTGCGAGCCTTCTTGCTGTTGACTGAGTAGAAGTCAAATGTTAATTTCATTAATCTAATTAAGAAATGTAACAGGTTGGATTAGAGAATCTTTAATTATGTTAAAAGATTAGAGTATGTGAAAAAAAGCTGCTGCACAATGAAATAGACACTGAATTAAATTTATTTCATATATCAAATGTTTGTAAAGTCATGCAGCCTACACCCATGAACATTTTATGCTTAAAGCTTTACCTGATTGAAAGGTTTTTATACTTCATTTTTAGCTGCTGTCACGTTCTTCTTCTTTTTTTTTGCCCATGGGATATGAAAATTAATATTAGTTCAATAACCTACCGTTCTGCCAGTTTTCACCTCTGTTATTATAACAGTGATCAAGAATTAAACTTATGCGTTGACTCAAAGTATGCGGACATCTTTTTGTTGGTGCTGTTGCCATGGTGAATCATAATTTCGGAGTTCCATTGATCATGACTTCTCATAGTCATGGTGCACACACTAAACTCAGAGTCAACCTACTCAGAGTTGACTGAACTAACACAATTCAGCTGTTCTGAAACCAGAAAACTCTTGAGTTTCCCATCTCAGGGTAAGTCGACTCAGAGTTCAAGTTTTAACTCAGAGTTGGTTGAACCTCCTTATTGAAACGGGCCCCTACTCTCTACCCCAAAAACATCTTAAACCAGTCTATGCTGGTTTGCTGGTCTTAGCTAGCCTTAACTGGTCTCCTAGTTTGGAAACCCCTCTAAAACCGATAAGCCAACTTGTCCAGACTGGGAGGCCAGAAAACCATCTTAAGTCAAGTACCATCAAGTACCTTGCATATAACCTTTCTGTCT